ATCTTAGTCAAAAAAAAATCTTTTGAAAACCACTGCTCTTTCTCTTCCTGTTACTGTCATCTCTAATTGGCCACCAAGACATGTCAGTTGTGGAACTTTTGTGCCAGTCTCTTCTTTAGTTCCACTTCTGTACACTTTTGGTACCTGCCTTTATTCTCCTCTTTCAAGTTTTTTTTTTTTTTTTTTTTTTTTGAGATGGAGTCTGGCTCTGTTGCCCAGTCTGGAGTGCAGTGGCCGGATCTCAGCTCACTGCAAGCTCCGCCTCCCGGGTTTACGCCATTCTCCTGCCTCAGCCTCCCGAGTAGCTGGGACTACAGGCGCCTGCCACCTCGCCCGGCTAGTTTTTTTGTATTTTTTAGTAGAGACGGGGTTTCACCGTGTTCGCCAGGATGGTCTCGATCTCTTGACCTCGTGATCCGCCCGTCTCGGCCTCCCAAAGTGCTGGGATTACAAGCTTGAGCCACCGCGCCCGGCCCTCTTTCAAGTTTTTAGTCTTTCTGTTGCCAGGAATGACCATAACTTAATTCTAGTCACATTACTACCCTTTAATGAGTTTTCAGTGGTCTTTTGTTGTCTTAGAATAAGAGCCAAACTTCTTAGCACATCATAAAAGGCCTTTTTCAGTTCATAATTCCTGTCACACTCATAAGAGTTCTTTCACTACAGACAAGCTGTCTTACAATTTCCTGAAAATGCCATGTTCTTTCACACAGCTGATTGTACTTGTGTTGGATTTACCTAAAATAATTTTGTCTGTTTTGTTTCAAAACACTTTTGAAATATAAAGTTTTTCTGAAGTCTGCTTCCCTTTTTTTCAAAAATTTACCTGCTCCATCAACACAACTCTGTCAGCACTGTTTTAAAATTATATTTTTGTGTGCTTATCTTATGACCCTATGAAAACCATAAGCACTTGGGGACAGCATCTGTGTCTTCTTTTCCTTTGTTTTTACAGTGCCTAGGGCTAGCACTAGGAGGCATCCAAAGATTTATTAAATAAATTTATAAGAAAAAAAGTTTCTTATTAGACCATTTTACAAACAGTGGCTGCCCTGTAAACAGTAAATTCCTTGCCATGGAAAGAATTCAAGAAAATCTTAGCTATTGTCTTAGATCAGGCTGCCATAACAAAATACCATACAGTGAGTGGGTTAAACAACAGGCACTTATTTTCTCATAGTTCTGGAGGCTGGAAGTCTGAGATCAAGGTGCCAGCATGGTCAGGTTCTGGTGAGGGGTGTCTGCCTAGCTTGTAGATGGCTGCCTTCTTGCTGTGTCCTCACATGAGAGAAGGGGGAAGCAAACTCTTTTGGTCTCTTCTTGAAAGGACACTAATCCTATAATTAGGGTCTTGCCCTCATGACCACATCTAAACCTAATGACCTCTCGAAGTCCCCATTTCCAGCATATGGGTCTGGCCTTCAACATACATGTTTGGGAGGACATGGTTCAGTTTTTAGCTGCTACTAAAAGGGATATTTGTCATGGATGATGTAAAAAGTAATTCTGCATTGGGAAGAGCTTAAACCAGATCATGTCTAAGGTTTTTCTAGTGTTTAGATTCTATAATGTTGCTGTTAATGTTTTTATCCTTTTTTAATCAGATAAACCTTCAAATCCAAAGAAAGAAAATTTGTTATTATCCTCCAATGGTTGTGATGAAGTCAAATTGACTTTTCCTGATGATGACTGGGATTCTTCAACACTAGAGCAAAGAGCTAATAATAAAGAAATCAACAATATTGACAAGATGGATTTATTAGAGCCATTTTTTTCAGTGAGTCAAGATACTAACACAGAGAGTACTCATTTTCAGTCAAGTGAACTTGAAGACAGTACTGACTATGCTTTCTTGAATGAAACATATTCTATACATTACCCAGAGTCAAAACTAAAGAAGGAAAGTCTTATTCCTTTAAGTTCAGAGTTAGATCTTGAAGTGCAGAAAAAAGAGGAGGTGTTTTTTGATATTTTGGAACATCAAGATAAGACTGTTGGCTTGGAAAGAATCTGCAATATTTCAGATGCTAATTATAGAGAAAGTGCTGAAGATACACAAAAGCATGATACAGATGAAGACTCACAGCAGGAATATCACAGTGCTGAAGAACAAGAATACATAAGTAACCACTTATCTTTTGACCAAACAAAAACATTAGGTATATCTAATCCAGAAGTTGTTGAATTAGGCAATTTGGGTTATGAAATTAAATGTGCTAGCAATGTAGAAGATAACCATGTTAACTCGGGAAGTGGTTCTATCATCTCTTCAGATTCATTTGATGTTTATGGACAAGAAGAGTCACTTCATGTCTCCAAATTTCAGAATTCTGTTATGTTAAGAGAATATCATGACCTAAAGCATGAAAAGTGTAAGGAAAAAGAGACAAGTTCAGTGTACCACACTGTATTTGATGGCAGTGTACTAAGAAGCAATTCTCCAGGAAACAAGGAATCTCAATCTCAGAGTGGTTCCTTGAGCCCTCAAAAAGTATTAAAAATGAAAACTTATACTGAACACATGAAATCTCAAATAAATGAAAGTAAAGATTTTTGTGGAAATAAAATTGCTGAGAACAAAATATTACTGCACCTTGAAAATCCTAGCACATTACCACAGGATAAAGCTTTAGAGACATTACCCCAACCCTGTAAAGATTGTCAAACTTCCTGGACCTCTGTTTTTGATGATTCAATAATTTCTGCCTGTGGATATTCACATTATGAAAGCCTACAAAACACCCCTGACTCAGCCTTAGATTTTTCTGCTATGCTACCGAAGATTGCAGTGAGAGATAATCAGGCAATAGAAGATAATACTTGCCTAAAAGTTGCTCATAGCAGTACCACAAAGAAAACATGCTTTCACAATACGGAAGGAACATGTAGTAACTCAATGACAGATGCAGCAAGTTGTACAGTCACAATTAATCAGACAGTGGATGTTAGCACTGATTTTAGGGCTTGTTTCACAACCAGCAGGGCGACAAGTGCAAGACCTTCTGTAGTATCTACATCAAGCAACACAGATATAACAATGATGAATAAAAAACGACCTGATGAATGGCAAAATGAGAAACAAAAAAGTGTAGCTTGTAGTACAGATTGGTCATACAGTGAAGATTGTATAGATACACAGATGGCTATGACAAAAGGATCAGGAAAATCTCCTTCAGTTGACAGTTTAAAACCTAATGGAAATTTTCTAAATAAGGTAAAATCAATATGAGTAATAATAAAATTTAGACTTTATAAAGAGACAGTGTATGCTAACGTAAATGTTTTTGGTTTGTTGAATTAGGGCTTTTGTGAGAAAATGATAGATGAGGGGAAAGGTTTGTAAATTACCACCAGTTCTATCCTCCTCTCATGGCAGCTCTCCCACAAAATCCATTAGAAATTGAATTATACATTTTACTAGTTTGGAATTTCAGGTGTAACATATGTTTTTTTAATTTAATTTTAAATCATATTTTCAGGATTTCCTGGAATTAAGAAAACCATGTGGTATCACAGACCTAAAGAAACATCCTGAGAGGTACATCATATATATATGCTTACAGATACATCTGGAAGAAAAAATCAAAATAGTATTTGCTTTCTGTATAGCATGCTTACCCATATAGAATAATAGCTAAAATGGACTTCAAGAAATCATCTGTTTCAACCGTTTGCCTTCAAATAAATATTAAAACAATATAGAATATTAAAGCTCTTCACTTACTGAGATTTCAGTCTCAATTTCTTCAGAAACTCGTGGCATCTAATCTTTACTTGTTCAACCCAAATCCATACTGATTTAATTTTCCATTTCCTTTCATTTTATTCACCTGTAGACTAAAACAAACTAGCACCTTTGGAATATGTCATTTATTTGGAGAAGTAAATAACTACTTTCACAGGAGCATTTTAATCTTGATTTTAACTCATTGCATAATTTGCTTTGCATTTATTAGATACTCTTGTAATTCAGAACACAGTGGAGAACCAGGAAGTGGGAGGGAGAGAAACAGGGAAGGTCTAAGATAAGCCAAATTAGTGACCATACTCTGAGGTCATTTACTTTTTCCTTCACTTGTTACTCATTATTCTAATGTTTAATCTGGTGTTTCAGTTCTATAAAACTAAATAGAATAATTGGTTTCTAGAAGCAAAACTATTGAGAATAGCTAGAAGTGGCAATTAGTAATAAGAGAAGACCTCCGAAAACTACTAATACTCAAAAAAACAGTGACTTGAGGCTTTTTGATATAATAGTACTGCAAAATATTTACTTATGTTAATGATCCTTAATTATTAAGAAATATGTAAATTATTTTCTATTAAAAAGATAATATGTTTTAAGAATAAGTTTCATCAAAAATGCTTATAACTTTAAAAAATCTTGGCCAAAGTTTGATTTAGGTTGAAAAAAATCCATTGGTTCTGTATAAATAAGGTCATTACCAAAATGACTTTATCCAGAATGAGCAATTCTCCAGAATAAACAATTCTCAAATTCATACTTCCTTTTTTGGTATTGAAAGTATGAATCTGAGAATTGTTTACTTCCTCGACTTCTAGAATGAATATATTAAGCTTTAAATTCTTGTTTTCTGAAGTTGTTATATATTCCTACAGCCTCTTCAACCTCAGTATAAATTGATTTAAACTTGACAGGGAAATATAAAAAATTTAAAATCTGTTTCTGGAGGCATGTTATTACTATAGAAAAATTTTTGGAATCTTACCTGATCCTATCTTTTATTTTTAAAGGGAAGTTCAACTTTTTAAAGATACGGAGAAGGATTTGCCATCAATGTGCTGTCAGAAAATAATGCAGAGAGCCATAAAAGCAGAGCTGCACCTTTTGAATGTTCACTATCAGATGTGTCGTCGCCATTGTTGTGATATTTACAAACTTGTAATGGAAAATAGGGAAGGATTAAATATGTGTTTATTAATTTTAAATCTGTTTTTTCTTAGGAATTTGTCACTAGCTTTAAGTTTATTCTAGACAGTTTCTTTAATTTTCATTTTTGAAGAATAAAATAAGGAGTAGATTGTTACTGGGTTTGTTAGTTAGCCTAAGGGTAATAGAATCCTTGAGTTTCATGGAGGGGCCACAGGCATGGTTGGCATTACAAATCCAGTGAAAACATAGATTTGTTGTTTCTTTATAAAGTTCGAGTAAGGATGAAGTTAGAGGGTTTTGCATGACATGCTACCACACTTTCTCTGGCTTGTGTGTCGACAGTTGTTTGTACTGCCCTTAGAAAAACACATTTACTGTGGTTCATTTTTTTCTTTTACTCAACATTTAAAAGAAAATATTTAGAGTTCTAGTAAAATTAGAACCAAGTGGGGTTGAGCAAGGTGGCTTGTGCCTGTAATCCCAGCACTTTGGGAGGCTGAGGCAGGAGAATCACTTAAGGCCAAGAGTTCAAGACCAATGTGGGCAATATAATGAGACCCCCCGTCCCTACAATACATTGTTTTACAAACTAGCTGGGCATTGTGGCATACATGTAGTCCTAGCAACTTGTGAGGCGGAGACAGGAGGATTGCTTGAGCCCAGGAGTTCAAGAACCAAGTGTATAATATAATATTAGTGTTAAATGGATGACTTGGGCCTAAATAATTTAGTTTTGTGCACTCAACTTTTGAACAGGAATTTATCAAGTAATTCTGCTAAGAAGGAAGTGGGATCAGCACTACTGTCTCTTTTGGGGGACTTAAAAGTTAGATATGTGACTTTGAAAGAAAAAATACACAAAGGCATACCACTGGAAGAGCTGCCCCCACTATCAGTAGAATCAAAATTATTATCTACCTTCTCTACTTTTGCTTCCAGGGTACGTATATATGTTTTAGAAATTAAAAATTTTACTTCATTTAGACAAAACATTTTAAACAAAGATTTTTTTCCTTTTCTCTTTCCAGCTAATGAAAAAAGAAACACATGTGTGAGTTATGGTTTCATCTGATTTATAATTCATTCGATCCTAAAACTTGCTTAATTCAGTTAACTTTAAACTTTCTGTTTTGTTCCCTATTTAGAACATTGATAAATGTTTTATTGAAGTGTTTATCTTTTTTCTTGATATTTAATATTGTACAAATTTATGGGGTACATGTAATATTTTGTTACATGCATAGGATGTGTACTAATCAAGTCGATATTCAGGATATCCATCACCTTGTATATTTGTCATTTCTATGTGTTAGGAACATTTCAAGTCCTCTCTTTTAGTTACTTTGAAATATACATTGTAGTTAACTATAGTCACCTTACTCTGCTGTCAAACATTAGATCGTTTTTCTTCTGAAGTGTTCCTTTTAGCTTTTCAGAAGCAGATGCTGAACGAGATGATCAGAGGGCTCAAGATTTTGATGTTTCTTCGAACCTAAAAAAGACAATCTCTCAAGTAAGGGTCCTTGAAAGTTCATCAATGTAAACCTTTAATTGTATGGTTTAAGTAAAGTAAACCATAATTTTCAGAAACCCTGACATCCTTCTTTTCACTCAGCTGGCTTACTTTGTGTACTACTATTTGATGGATATAACTGATTATAATGATGTATTTATGTCAAATCCTGATCAAACAGATGTCAACCGTATATGTTGAATAGGGTGACCATATAATTTACACCACGCCAGGAGACTTTTGAGGTTGAAAGAGCGTAATGGTAATTCTCTACGACAGTCAGTATAAACCTGGACTGTCCTGGGCAAACTATAATTCAGCACCATAATCATGTTAAGCCAGTTCAATTAAAACTAACATTGTGTACCTTCATCTCATGAGATAAAGTAATAATTCAGTCATTTTAGACAGGGTAAAGTTATAATTTCTTCTTTACTGAAATGATGAAAATCATTTTTAAATGCCTGTCATAGGTTTTCTTACTGTCTCGTTCCCCCAAGAAAATGTTTGTCAGATGACAACCGAGAAGGAATATTTAATCTGTGTAAGAACACTCTGAAAATTACAAAGTGTTATGGAAACATTGGTTATATTCCATTATTGAGCAAGGAGGTAATGGAATAGGAAGGCTGGGGTTTAGTCTGCTTTTCTGACTTTGGTTTTAACTCTGAGGTTTTCTTTATTTGAGTAATATTAATCCCCCAAGATGAATTCCAAAGTTAAAAGTCAAATACTTGATTGAGTAAAATTAAATTACTTTAACATTGTCTATTCCGTTGTTAAATTCTTTTTTAAAAAAATCTCAGTTATCCACAAAGAATTAACAGGTCAAAAACTAGATTTTTATGTATTTAATGGTAGGAATGGTATAACCTGTTTAGAGAGAACAATAAATTATTTTTTAAAGAACAAGATGAAGATGTCGTTCTTTATAATCTTGGTTTTAGCTACAAAACAGTATTTATTTTAAGTTGGGATTATGTTTTAATTCCTGTCTCATTAAATTAACTGGTAATGCATGAAACTCAGTATACTGTGTTTCTAAATTTCAGCTACTCATGTACCATCTTCACGATTTACCATAGCCCTGTATTACCTATAATATTACTTTGTCTTTAAATGATTCTCCTTTTTACATAAATTTAAATGTAAATAATAACTATTACATGTAGGAAAGAAATACTACGTCTTATAAATAAAAGATACACATAAGCATACACTAAATTAAATATATAACTGTTAAACGTTAATGTGATAAATACTTGTGTGTATATATATATACCTCCAAAAATTATCTCGATTACTTCTCGTGTGTATGCCACACTTTGCCAGATAGTAGTGTTAGCATAGTCATTATACACAGAATGGATTCAAATTGTAATTCTTGTTAACTGTGTAACATGAAGCAACAAGTTACTTAGATTCTGTTTTCTCACATGTCAGGTCAAGTTGATAATGTTTTGCTTTCATAGCCCTCATTACTGTTAAGGGCTGAATAATGCCAGTGAAGAGTACCTGTCACATAGTAAGAGCATAATAATTATTTGCTCTTATTTATTGTTGTTTTTGTTATCTTAATCCTCAGATGTCTTTATCATCTGACAATAGTCGTGCTACACAAAACATATCACCCAAAAAAGATGACTTTAAAAATGGTGATATAAATGCAGACTTTCATCAACTGAAACTTGATGATAAAGGTTAGTATAAAAATGTGTTATCCTGTATAGTTGCTGGAAAACAAAATAATGTTTAAAGTATTGGTAGTGTTTATTCATTAAAGAAAAATGAATATTCTTAATTGACAGAAAGGCATCATTCTGATTATAAATGTCAAATATGTTCTTACTGCTATTTGACATCTTTAAGGTTGCCTAATATAGCTGACAACGCTAAGTAATTATATGGACTCTTATTCTTTTGGTTCATGTTTTTAGTATGAAAATTCTCTCTTATATCTAATTTGTATCTCTAAATTGTGTGCATTTTTAGCACACGAAAAGAGATTGTGATCATTTTAAAAGATTATTAATTTAATTGTAATGAAATAAAGAGCTGCAACGCAGCTTAATTCTTTCAAAGATGTTTCATGTTATTGCATATATAAAGATAATATGTCTTTTTCACTAAAGGACAATTCAAAATGCTGAAAATTAAGGGTTTCAATAAGCTGGGAATAGTGTTTTAATTAAAGGAAAACTAGGAAACAGATCACTCAGACTGAAAGCAACTTTTTATTCAAGGACTACTGAAAATCTCTTCTCAGAGAATCTTTGTGCTTGGTTCTCTTATTTTGCTAATATTTATCTTTAGATTTATACATAAAACTCTAGTAGTCATCATCATGCTGATTCATCCATGGTTTTTAGATAACTTTTCAGTGTGTTGGACGTTATATGTCATTCATAGCTCATTGTGTTTAATGTCTTAGACTGCAGACATTACCAAGAGATGAGTGAAGACTGGTCTGATGCTAAAGAGAACCTGACAGGAGTTGACATCTCAGGAACACAAGAAAATCAAATAGAACAAGACAGATGGAATTTGGATCTTACACTAGGTTGGTTCTCAAGAATTTACTGAGAAACCCTAACCTAGATTATTTGTAAAATAGTGTTTACCTGCTTCTGGGTTGTGATGGGCAGCTGAGTTGTTTTAATCTTTTATTCCTGTTTTGGCTTTTCTTTATAAATAAAAAAATGAGGAAATTGTTCAGTTGGAGGTCAGTTTTTTAAAGAGGAAAAAAACTGCTAAAAGCTTAAATCCAAGATTTAGTTAACAGGTAGATACCCACATTCTTTCTCTTGCTCAAGGCCAACATCAGCACTCCTGCAGGGCATCATTTTCCTCTTTCCAGGCGTGGGTACATGGTGAATAAAACCAGCTTCCCAGTTACCACCAGGCAACCAGTACTAACCTGTCAAATTGGTGTTGATGATGAAAACTATTTGCTTTCTCTTATTTCAATAATTTTAGGGATGTTTTCATTTTTAGATAGTCCTTAATTGCTTAGAATAGTTATAGTTTTCTCTAGTACCTGTGATTATTGCCCTTCTATCATTTCTAGGTAAGTTTATGCTACCTTTCCTTATTTTTTTTTTTGTATCTTCTATGGATTTTTCTTTTGTTTTCAGTATCAGCATTGGTTTTATTGTTTTTTTCCTGCTTGTCTAAATAATGCTTATTATGGTTTTTTAAATAAAATTTTAAAATATAGGAAAATTAAAATTAACTGGTTTCTCCAACCTGCAATAACTGCTATGAATATTTTAATGACCATTTTTATGCATTTTCTTATGTATATATTTAATACACACATGCAATTTAAAGTAAATAGCATTATATCATCTATTTTTGGGGTTTTGTTGTTGTCGTTTGTTTTTTGAAACAGAGTCTCTGTCACCCCAGACTGGAGTGCAGTGGCGCTATCTTGGCTCACTGCAACCCTTCACCTCCCGGGTTCAAGTGATTCTCCTGCCTCAGCTTACAGGTGCCCACCACCACACCTGGCTAATTTTTGTATTTTTAGTAGCAACGGGGTTTCACCAAGTTGGCCAGGCTGATCTTGAACTCCTGACCTCAAGTGATCCACCCACCTCGGCCTCCTGAAGTGCTGAGATTACAGGCGTGAGCCACTGCACCCAGCCCCATATCATCTAGTTTTATTCTGTTTTTTCTTCCCTTGCATTAGTTTTCTTCATGTCACTTATCACAACACTGTATGGTTTGCTTACCTGATATATTGACTGCCTTCTCATCCTCTCATTAGCTCAGTGAGCTCAGGGATTTTTATATGTTTTGTTTACTCCCTATCTCCAGTGCCAGGTACGGCATGCAGCCCATTGGATGTTCATTAGCTATTTTGTGTTGAAGTAGTGAAACGAGAGGTGATGGGTATAATGTATGTCTTCTGATTCTTATTTACCCTTTTTTACTATACTGTAGCTCATTATTCCCTCCTCACTCCAATGTAAAAATATAAAGGTAGCTGGTTTTGCTATTTTCTCTATAGAATACATCATGATTCAAAGAGGTTAACAAATGAAATAAGTTAATGAAGGTTGGGTATTATTACCTAACGACGACAAACTGTGCCTGGATTCCAGCACCACCATTTACTATATTTGTGACCTAAACTCCTGAGACCTCAGCCTCCTTATCTGCAAAATGAAAATAATAATAGCTACCTTGTGGCGTGGTTGTGAGAATTACATGAGATGATGTGTATAAAGTGCTTGCCATATTGCCTGGAGCACCAGAAACACTGGATAAGTGTTAGGCTACTCTTATATATTATTATTTAATGAAAAAAATAAAATTTCCATATCTCCTATTACTATTTAAAAATTATAAAGCATATAAATAAAAGCTACTTTAAGGATTCATTCAGCAAATATTTGTGTTCTCCCTATGTGCCAGGTATGGGATTTGCTAGTAATTTGAATCTCTATTCAGTGGATCCTTTTTGGTTTCAAGTTCTCTTCACAATAGAGACTATGAAAATGTACTCTAAGAATTCTGAAATTTTTTATCAAGAAAAAAATTTATCCATAATCCTAGTATTTGTAGTTTGGAAAATCATGCTTTCTAACTCAGGTTGTCTCCCAGCTTTTTTTCTTGTATGCCCTTACCATTATTACAAGCTATATATTATAATACCTGCTATTGATCCTTGTCCAGTTAAAAGGTTTTCTTGGCGTGATGTTTCCCCAGCAAGGGAATTTGCATAATGAGAGCTCTCAGACCACTAGCTCTAGCCAGCATTAACACTAGGGAGTTAAGATCCTGTGTGTGTCCAGTGTTCTAGATAGCACTTCTCTGAACCAAAGACAAATGAAAGACAACTGCAGATTGAGAATATATTTTAAAAGCCTGTACGAAACATGTACAGACTTTTTAGGAGTCTCATTATTCCCTAAACAATACAGTATAACAAATATTTACATAGTATTTACATTTTATTAGGTATTATAACTAATCTAGAGATGATTTAAAGTATAAGGAAGGATATGTGTAGGTTATGTGCAAATACTATACCATTTTACATAAGGGACTTGAGCATCCTTGGAGTGTCTGAGAACCAGTCCCCCAGGGATACTGAGGAACAACAATTACAGTAATTGATTACTTTGTTTAGATGTAATTTGTCCATTTTTGAGCTACAAGAGACTTAACTAACCCAACCTCTTTAGTTTTTAAGATGATGTGATTAAGGCCCAGAAATCTTAAAACTATACGGCAGGCTATTAGTCCTCAGTCTAGAAGTGCTGATAGTTGCTGATAACTTTATAATAAACTTTGAGTTAGTAAAAAGGAAGCATAAAATATGTAACAGCGTTCACATTTTCTCTGAAACATATCAGTACAATAAGGATCATTTCTGTTACATGTTTTTCTCTAAGCAGAAATGAAGAATGTTGAACCCTCACAAAGAGATAAAGGTTATTTGATACATGTTGGTGGCCTCTGCCCTTCAGTATCTGAGGTATACCAGGATTATTTTTTTGAGCTTCATTTTCAAATTTATTAGTTGTTCATATTTTGTTGTATTTTTCTACCCTTCACAAACTTTTATTTCTCTTCTTTTAGGCCGATTTAAGGTCTCATTTCCAAAAATACCAAGTTTCTGAAATTTCAATTTATGATTCTTCTACTAATTACAGGTGTGTTTCCCAACTTTAATCAATGTGCATTATTATGTGTCTGCTGTTTGCCAAAGGTTCTATACCAGATATCAGCCACAGTGGTGACAAAGTCAAGGGCTATTCTCACAGGGTTTCACAGGCCAGGAAAGGGGACACATGGACAAATAGCTACAGTCTTGAGTTGATACTGTTCTTAACCAGATCTTTTTTTCATTATACTTTGTAACTTGTTAATGGTATACAGGAGAGTTATTGATTTTTGTATGCTTTATCTTGCTACATGCCATTACATAGGGGAATTAGAGCACATTAGGTAAAAGAACGGCTTCCAGAAATAGATAACATTGGTTCAATTCCCAGCTCTGTCAACAACTTGGTTAATAAATTTAGGCAAGTTACTTAACCTTTCTGTACCTCAGCCTCTTTGTATATAAAGTGAGCATAATAATACTACCTTCACAACATTGCTGTGAAACTATTACAAGTAAAATATGTGAAACACTAGGAATAAAGCCTGGCACATAGTAGGTGCTCAGAAAATTGTGTTTCATTTTACTATTTCTGATTTCAATTACTTTTTTTTTTTTTTTTTTTTTTGAGATGGAGTCTTGCTCTGTCGCCCAGGCTGGAGTGCAGTGGCCAGATCTCGGCTCACTGCAAGCTCCGCCTCCCGGGTTCACGCCATTCTCCTGCCTCAGCCTCCCGAGTAGCTGGGACTACAGGCACCCACCACCTCGTCCGGCTAGTTTTTTGTAATATTTAGTAGAGACGGGGTTTCACCGTGTTAGCCAGGATGGTCTCGATCTCCTGACCTCGTGATCCACCCGTCTCCGCCTCCCAAAGTGCTGGGATTACAGGCTTGAGCCACCGCGCCCGGCCTTTCAATTACTTTTTAGTTGACACTCGATATATTTTAGGTAGACAGCTACCTCATTTACATATAGTTACTTTGAGTATGTATGTTGCTACTTTCTGTTTTGTGACATTGCCAGATGATTCAAAAATATTAAATAACAATGGCCATAGCTTAATGGAATTTTTTTTACTGTTTTATCATTAAAAGTGATAGCTATTTATTTCAGATATAAAATTTTTATCAATTAAGAAAGGATCCTATTTGTAGTTGGGGTTGCAATTTATTAAAAATGTGTGTCTTAAATGAAGTCATATAATTGTAAGATAATTGTTTAGCTGTAATTATTTGACCTGTTGATATGATATTAATACATTTCATTAAAGTAGTATTGTAATCTTAGGAGCATTACTTGATGTGAAAGACTCTTTTAGTATCTTGTTGAATACTTTTTAAGAACTATGGTTTTTTCTTACTTGAAGTATTTTGCATTCTGTGTAGAAATTTAGAAAATACAGTTAAATGCAAAAATACAAGGAGTTTATAAAAATGTATCCATAGTCTCATCATTTGAAAACAGCCACTCTTCCCAGGATTTGGTGTATATCCTTCCATTGACACTGTCTAGGGCTGATGCTTTTATAGGAATAGCTATTGCCCAACTTCCTTGTGTATATAATTAAAATTCTGATTAGATTTTCCAACTCTTTGTTTTTGTCTGTATATTTCCCCACTACAAGGTCATAAAGATACACTGTTGGCATATTCTGCTAAATATTTAAAATTTTGCCTCTCACATTTAAGCCTTTAAGTTATCTGAAGTTTATGTTTATACATAGGAATTAGTTTTAAGGTTTTTTAGTTATGGATAATCAGATGTCCCCAGACCACTAATCTTGGCAACTCTATCATATATTAGCTTTGCACATATTTTACATTAGATTTTAATATAAAATTAATAGGAGATAATGTGTAAGAAATACTTTTCTTCTATTTCCCATCTTTAACTTGGTTTTTATTTAGTTATCCTAAATAAATATTCTTCCTAATCCCAAGGTAAGTACAGCACCCTTTTTATTTTTAAAAGCAGTTATTCTTGTGAAAAATGTATTTGCGTCCGTAGTTACAAAATTAAGTTTGATGTAATTTGAAGTCATTAACAACCTTTTGGTTTTCTGCTTTTGTGTTTTAGATACGCATCTCTTACTTTTACAAAAAACAGCGATGCAAAGATAGCTGTGAAAGAAATGAATGGGATAGAAATAAATGGAAAGTCAGTAAATGTGCGGCCTGTTAAAATTCTTGGAGAATATACATCACCACTTTCCTCCAAAAATGGGAATCGAATTAGTTCGAATAATTTAGAGAAAAGCACCAATAAAGAAATCCACTCAGCCTTCTCCATTTCTAGATTGCCCAGAACTAGACCACGGCAGCTAGGATCTGAGCAAGACAGTGAGGTTTTCCCTTCCAACCAGGTTAGTGTTTTTGATAGATCCCTTAGATGGTCTTTGTATGTCATATTGCTGTAAGTAGCTTTGTAGAATAAATAACTTCAATATGCAGTCTTGAAATGGGAATGACAGCATTAATCTGAATTTTTTTAACCTTGAATCCACCCTAACCTGGTTTTGTACAACTCCAGTTGTTCCTGGGGGGAAATCTAGATCTTTGTAGACCGAGCTAACGAAAAACTCATTTTAACTAGGCTCTTTGTCAATCCTTCACCATCTTTTTATTACTACTCTGTAAGTAACTAATTATAATTTCATCTTGATTTTTCTTTCACAGCTAACTTTATCTCATAATTGTTAAAACCATAAAATGTAGTCATTTTATTTTCATATATTCTCATGTCTCTGTTACTGAGGTAAACACCCTGTGAAAAGTGGTAAAGTTTGCCTCGTTCAGTCTTTTCTCTCCACTGCTCAGCAAATTGCCTGGAATCCCATAGGTGTTCCATATATATATATATATTTTTAAATTTACATATAGTAAAATTCAATACTTTTTGGTGCCTATAGCTTTAGACAAATGCATATAGGCAAATCCGCACCACCATAATCAAGATTCAGAACAGTTCCATCATTCCAAAAAATTACCTCGTGCTCATATCTGTTTCTTATTCTTAAAACTTGACCTTTTTCAGAACATTATATAAATGAAATTATACTATATAGCCCTGTTAGCCTGGCTTCTTTCACTGAATGCATTTGAGATTGATCCATGTTGTTGTGTATACTGGCATTTTATTCCTGCTCATGTTGTGTCCATTTTTATTCAGTTTATTTTATTATTGAATTTTGATGTTTTAATATTCTGATTTTGAGTCCTTTACCAGATAGGCGATTTGCAAATAATTTTTCTCACTTTGTGCCTTGTCTTTTCATTCCGTTAACAGTGTCTTTCTCAGAATAGGGATATTTTAGTATTTATGAAGTATAATTTATTAATTTTTAATTTATAATGTATGCTTTTAGTGTTGTAGCTAAGAAATCTTAGCATAATCCAAGGTCACAGAGATTTTCAGTTAATTTTTATATATTGTTTCTGGTATTTGTTGAGGTAGTTATTGTTTATTTGCATTTGTTTCTGTTTTGCATATGGAATAGTTCCAGCATCATTTGTTGAAAAGATGATCCTATTTCTGTTGAATTACCTTTGCACCTTGGTCAAAAATCAATCGACCATGTTTGTGTGAGTCTATTTCTAGACTGGAACTGTTTTGTTGAACTGTTTTGTCTCTCTCCACCCGTAGTACACTGCCTTCATTACTGTAGCCTCATAGTAAGTTTTGAAATCAGGTGGAATGAGTCCTCTAACTTTATTCTTTTTCAGAGTTATTGTGCCTATTTAGTCTCTTCGCCTTGCTGTATACTTTTATAATTCACCTGTCTATCTACAAAAAAAAAAAAATCCTACTTGGATTTTTGCTGGGATTGTTTTGAATCCATAGATCAGCACAAGAATCAATACTTGTTGAATAAATGAATATAATTTTTTCCCTTAATAAGAGAAAGGGATCTCTTCTAACTGTGTCCTTTATCCAGTCCTTTCCTCATTCCTGGAGTTATCACATTCCTTTTCTATACCATTAGCAACTCCACTTCCATTCACAGACCTTAGCCTCTACTCAAAGTCAGGCACAGCCCTTCCTAATCCTGACAGGATTTTCACTTGACTTTGCATTCCTCTAACTTTACCATCCTTATTTGTCCTATGGTTTGTTTTGTTTTGTTTTGTTTTTGGGGAGTTTTTTGTTTTGTTTTGTTTTGTTTGTTTGAGACAGAGTCTCACTCTGTCGCCCAGGCTGGAGTGCAGTGGCGCAATCTCAGTTCACTGTAACCTCTGCCTCCTGGGTTCAAGCAATTCTCCTTCCTCTGCCTCCTGAGTAGCTGGGATTATAGGAACCTACTACCTTGCCTGGCTAATTTTTTGTGTGTTTTTAGCACAGATTTGGTTTCACCATGTTGGCCAGGCTCATCTTGAATTCCTGACCTCAAGTCATCTGCTCGCCTCGGCCTCCCAAAATGCTGGGATTACTGGCCTGAGCCACCACACCCAGCCTGTCCTATGTTTTTATTGCCAAAGTTCTCATTCAAGTAGGTTATATTCAATGTCTGTTTCTTTGCTTCTCTGTTGTCCTGATAATCTGACTTCAGTCTCTAAAATTTTACCTAAACGGCCCTTTTCATAAGGCACTAGTGACCTTTTATTTGTCTTTCCCTCATCTGCCTTCCTCTTGACTACTTTGCCTGTTTGACGCTGTTCATCCCTTTCTTGAAACTTTTCCTTTCATCTCAGTGACCCTTCATGTGTGGGATTGATTTATTTGGTACATAGCCTCAATCTACAGCAGGAAGGAAGGAAACAAAAGTGCAGCGAAGCTGCGTGGGGCCCTGAGCTGGAGGTGTGGAATCTGTGGCTCTCGCTTTCCTCCTTGTGTAGCACATGTGGTCTCCTGCCTCTGCTCTCCATATGCTCATTCCCCTTATTCCCCTTTCTCTACACACTGCTTTTCTCTGCTCATGACTGCTTTCTTCCCCCATTTGGCTTTGTTTTGCTTGATTCTAACTCTATATATTCAATTCAAGTCCCTGTGATCTGATTAATTCATTTGCTTCATGTTCTAATTTCAGTCTTTTTTTTTTTTTTTCCTGAGACAGGGTCTCACTCTGTCACCAGGCTGGGGTGCAGTGGCACAACCACAGCTCACTGTAGCCTCAAAGTCCTGGGCTCAAGCAATCCTCCCACCTCAGCTTCCCAAGTAGCTGGGACTGCAGGTGTGTCATCATGTCCAGCTAATTTTTGTATTTTTCTGTAGAGACCAGGTCGTGCTGTGTTGCCCAGGCTGGTCCCAAACTCCCGTCCTCAAGTGATCCTTCCACCTTGGCCTCCCAAAGTGCTGGGACTGCAGGCGTGAGCCACCACACCCTGCTAATTCCACATGCTTTAGACAGGAAATTGAATTGATCCAGGCTGTGATTTTGATGTTCATCAGCTCAGGCAGCAACACTCTTGATCCTGTCAGCTGTGGCAGTGGGCCATGGGGTTGGGAGAGGGATGTTATAAAGAGGGCCATACGGGATATTGGTAGGAGTATGTGGATCAGGAAGTTCCTGTAACCATCTTTGTTAAACTATACTCCAAGTTCTCTTTCCTTTCTGGCAATTTCTTGTTCCATTGTTCTTTTTCTGATTCTCCACATTTATTTATTCTATTCATTCATTTAGAAAATATTGATTATCTACAATGAGAAGCAGAATCATAGTGATTAATAAACACTCTTAGATTCATAACCTGGCTCTGCCACTTACTCACCATGTGACTCTGGAAAAGTCACCTAACCTTTCCATTTCTGAGCTTCCTTATCGTAAAATGGAGATAAGAGCCATTACCTCACAAATGTTGACGAGTTTAAATGAGCTTACCACAGAAAAATTTTTAGAACAGTGCCTACCTTGGTAGATGTACCCAGAAAACATTAGCTGCTGTTGTTATTACTTACCAATAATTTGACTTCTTTCTTGGAGAGCATATTCTTTCTTGGAGAGCACTTACTTCAACTGTCACTTAAACTATTGTATCCCAAACTTTTTATTTATTAAACAAATAGTTATTACATACCAACTGTGTACACTATTCTAGGCACTGGGAAAGCAACAATGAACAAAACAGACAAAAATCTGTGCTCTTAAGGAGCTTAAATCTAGTGAGGGAGTTGAGGCAATAAACAAGCAAGTGAAAGATATAATGTTCTGATGTAAAAGGTCCAGTATATTATGTGTCTTGCCCTGACTTCATCGAGGCTTTAAAGTCTGAATCCTTCCTTTGTTGAACTCTTATGGTATTTACAGTGGTTTTCTACAATTTATAGCCTACTTGCATTGTTAACAGTAACTAATTGGTCATTTCAATTTTGTCTCTTCGCAAATGGAGAGGGCTCTGTTTTATATCACTATAGTTTTTCCCGCGCAGCATATACTGCACTTCTGGGCATACAATTTGTATTCATTACATACAGCATATAGTAAATATGATGTAAAATATCTCTAATTACTGTGTAGCCTTTTTTAGGTTGGTTAAGAGAATTAAGCCTTAATGCCCTAAGCCTAAAACGTTTATTTAATGAATGAATCTCTCTCCTGTGCATCTAAAAAAATGAAACTAGTTATATCCTATCTTTGGGAGAATTGAGAAAGTAGTTACATCATTTTCTGTGTTCTATGGTTCAGATGAGAAATCTGGTTGAGAAAGGCTTATTTAGACATAACCTCATATACTTTATCAGAAAGAAAAAATGTTGGGTATGTTTTGTAGTATATGGCCCTGAAACACAGCCCAAGTAAATGCAATTGATACAAATAATCCCAAGTTAAAGTAAACTTTTAAGGAGTTTTTATTTTATTATTTTAATTTTCAAATATATTATTATTGAATAAGCTGTATTGTCTTTATGTAATGGTCCTTACTGATTTTAAGAAAACTTTTTAAATGCTTATTTAGGGTGTCAAGAAGAATTGTAAGCAGATTGAATCTGCTAAATTATTACCTGATACACCTGTTCAATTCATACCTCCAAATACATTGAACCTTCGTAGCTTTACCAAGATCATAAAGAAACTGGCTGAACTGCATCCAGAAGTCAGCAGGTAATAACCAAAATTATATTTTAACTGGTTTAAAACTTTTGTGTAAAAATATAGTTCAAGTTAATAACTTAGATATATTCAGAATGTGTTCCTTTGGAAAAGACAAATAAATACTCATGTATGTTTTCCTTTTGCATAGAGACCATATTATAAATGCGCTTCAGGAAGTGAGAATAAGACATAAAGGTTTTCTGAATGGCTTATCTATTAATACTATCGTGGAGATGACTTCATCTCTTCTGAAAAACTCTGCTTCCAGTTAGGAATTCAAAAAACAATACAGAGGTAAAGCAACCATATTCTTTCATATTTGAATATTACTTAAAATTTATAAGCTATTGATTTCATTTTCTTTTTACATAAAAAATTAAATTTAAAATAATAATATAATCATAAAATAACATGAAGTTTTAAAACAAGCATACTGTAATTAACTACTAATGCAAAACTAATTACCCTAAAATTGACTGGCTTAAACAACACTCATAAACTCACATTTTGCAGATCAGGATTCAGGAGTGACTTAGTCAGGTGGTTTTAGCTCAGGGTTTTTCATGTTGCAGTCAAGATGTTGGCCTGGACTGTAGTCATTCAGAGGCTTCACTGAGACCAGAGGATCTGCTTCTCAGGGGGCTCATTCACATGTCTGTTGGCAAGAGGCCTCAGTTCCTCACCACATAGGCCCTTCCATAAGGCTCTTCAACTGTCTTTGCATCATGGCAGCTGGCTTCCCCTAAGCAAGAGAGAGAGAGCAAGATGGAAGCTGCATTGTCTTGTATTTTCTACCCTCAGTAGTCGCAGATACTGCAATTTTTACATATCGAAGGTTTGTGGCAACCCTGCATCAAGCAAGTCTATCAGCGCCATTTTCCAACAATGTGTACCCACTTTGTGTCACATTTTGGTAATTCATACAACATTTCAAACTGTTTTATGACACCTGTTATGGTGATTGTGATCAGTGATCTTTGGTTAGTATTGTAATTATTTTTGGGCACTTTGAACTGCACCCATATAAAACAGCAACTTTTATAAATGTGTGTGTTCTGATCACTCTATTCATTGGCTGTTTCCCCATCTCTTTCCCTCTCTTTGGTCCTCCCTATTCCTTGAGACACAATACTGAAATTAGGCCAACTGATAACCCTACAATGACCTGTTAGTATTCCAGTGAAAGAAAGAGTCACATGCTCACTTTAAATCGAAAGCTAGAAATGATTAAGCTTAGTGAGGAAGGCATGTCAAAAGCCAAGATAGGCTGAAAACTAGGCCTTTTGTACCAGTTAGCCACATGGTTCATTGTTGTGAAGCCAATGAGGAAAAGTTCTTGATGGAGATTACAAATGCTACTCCAGTGGACACAGGAATGATAACAAAGTGAAACAACCTTATTGCCAATATGGTGAAAATTTTAATAGTCTATATAGAAGATCATAGCAGCTACAACGTTGCCTTAAGCCAAAGCCTAATCAGAGCAAGGACCTCTTTTCCATTATTTGAAGGTAATGAGAGAGGAGAGGAAGCTGAGGAAGGAAAGTGTGAAGCTAACAGAAGATTAGGTTAGTTCATGAGGTTTAAAGAAATAAGCCATCTTTTTTTTTTTTTTTTCCTGAGATTTTGGTGCACCCATCACCCAAGCCCTGAGCAGTGTACATTATACCCAACGTGTAGTCTTCTATCCTTCACCTCACTCCCACCCTTTCTTCCAGTCCCCAAAGTCCAATGTATCATTCTAAGAAGTCGTCTTTGTAACAGAAGTACAATGTGAAGCAGCAAATGCTGATGGAGAAGCTGTGGCAAGATGCCCAGAAGATCTAGGTGAGATAATTGATGATGGTAGCCACACTAAACAGCAGATTTTCAGTGTAGAAGAAACAGCCATCTACTGAAAGTAGATGCCATCTGGGACTTTCACAGCTTGAGAGGAAAAGTCAATTCCTAGTTTCAAAGGACAGGCAGGCTCTCTTGTTAGGGGCTAATGCAGCTTTTGACTTTAAGTTCAAGCTGATGCTCATTTACCATTCTGAAAATCTAAGGGCCCTTAGGAATTAACACTAAATCTACTATGCCTCCACTCTATGAATGGAACAACAAAGCGTGGATGACAACACATCTGTTTATAGCATGGAGGTTTTTTGGGTTTTGTTCGTTTTTTAGAGATAGGGTCTTGCTGTCAAGACCAGGCTGGAGTGCAGTGACACAATCATAGCTCACTGCAACCCTAAACTCCTGGACTCAAAAGATCCTCCTGCCTCAGTCTCCTAAGTACTAGAACTACAGTAGGTGCACGCCACCATGCCCTGCTACTTTCTTTTTAAATTTCAACCTTTCGGCCGAGCACAGTGGCTCACACCTGTAATCCCAGCACTTTGGGAGGCCGAGGCAGACGGATCAAGAGATCGAGACCAGCCTGGCCAACATGGTGAAATCCCGTCTCTGCTAAAAATACAAAAATTAGCTGGGCATGGTGGCAGGCGCCTGTAGTCCCAGCTACTCGGGAGGCTGAGGCAAGAGAATCACTTGAACCTGGGAGGCAGAGATTGCAGAGAGCTGAGATCGCACCACTGCACTCCAGCCTGGCGACAGAGCAAGACTCCATCTCAAAAAAAAAAAAAAAAATTAAACTCTTTGTAGAGACAGGGTCTCACCTATGTTGCCCAGGCTGGTCTCATATTCCTGGCCTTAAGCAATTCTCCCACGTTAGCCTCCCAAAGTGCTAGGGATTACAGGCATGAGCCACTGAGCCTAGCCTGTAGCATAGTTTACTGAACCCCTGGACTCAAGCAGTCCTCCTGACTCAGCCTCCCTCAGTAGCTGGGTTTACAGGCACGTACCACCATGCCAGGATAATTTTTTTTTTTTTTTAAGAGATGGGGTCTTACCATGTTACCCAAGCTGGTTTACTGAATCTTTTAAGCTCACTATTGAGACCTACTACTCAGAAAAAAAAGATTTCTTTCAAAATATTATTGCTTATTAACAACGCACTTAGTCACCAAGAACTCTGATGGAGATGTAGAAGGAAATTAATGGTTTTTTTAAATGCCTGCTAACACAACATCCATTCTGCAGCCCATGGATCAAGGAGTAATTTTGACTCAAGTCTTAAATATTTAAGAAATACATTTCATAAGGCTATAGCTGCCATAGCTGATTCTGTAATGGATCTGGACAAAGTAAATTGAAAACTTTATGGAAAGGAGTCACCATTCTAGATACCATTAAGAATACGTATTATTCATGAGAGGAGGTAAAAATATCAACATTCACAAGAGTTTAGAAAAAGCTGAATCCAACTCATCGGTGACTTTAAGGGGTTCAAGACTTCAGTGGAGGAAGTAACTGCTGATGTGGTAGACATAGCAAGACAATTCAAATTAGAAGTGGAGCCTGAAGATATGACTGAATTGCTGCAACCTCGTGATAAAATTTGAATGGATGAGAAGTTCCTTATTATGGATGAGCAAAGAAAGTACTTTCTTTTTTTATTATTTGTTATTTTTGTAGAAATGGGATCTTGTTATTTTTCCCAGGCTGGTCTCAAACTTCTGGCCTCAAGCAGTTCTCCCACTCAGCCTCCGAAAGTGCTGGGATTACAGGTGTAAGCCACTGTGCCCAGCCCAGAAAACGCTTTCTTGAGATGCAGTCTACTACTGGTGAATATGCTGTGAACATTGTTGAAATAACAACAAAGGATTTGGAATAGTACATAAACTTAGGTGATAAAGCAGTGGCAAAGTTTGAGGGGATTAAGTACCCATTCGGTGTTTAAAAAAAAAGTTGAAGGAAATTGACTCCAATTTTGAAAGAAGTTCTAATCTGGGTAAAATGCTATCGTACAGAATCTCAAGCTACAGAGAAATCTTTTGTGAATGAAAGAGTCAGTTGATGCAGCAAACTTCATCGTTGTCTTATTTTAAGAAGTTGCCACAGCCACTCCAGCCTTCAGCATGACATGAGTACATCAGAGAAAAACTGCTTGAAAAATTAAAGCCTAAAAGAACTATAAAGCAACTGGAGGGATAAAGTTTACCTTAAGAGTGCAACAGTTAGATTCACAGCTGACTCTCACTCAACAGAAGTCACCAAATAATTCTCCAAGCCCAAAGCTCTAGACCCAGGAAAAGAGCCTTCAAAACTAAATGTAAAATAACTAATTATCATGCAAATTTTAAAAACTAAGATAATTTGTTACTTTAGAAGAAGCCCTACTCTAAAGAAAATACCAGAATGTTCTCTGGGAAAAAAGTGATTTTAAATGAAAGGTCAGAGGTACAGGAGAAATGGAGATCAACGAAGAGTAAATATGTGGTAGGTCTCAATCAATATTGGCGGTAGAAAACAAAAATAATGATTTTTATAGGTTCTAATGTAATTAAAATACATGATAATACTAATACATAAGTTGAGAGGGGATTGAGTATTCTTACTATTCTAAACACCTTGCAGTTTGGGAAGAGAGTAAGATGCTCTGTGTTGGGGGTGCTCAAGACCACCCAAGCTTCATTATATGCTAGGAGGACTCAACGTAACTCAGGACATAGATGTGTTCATGGCTATGATTTATTACAGCAACAAAATACGAAGCAAAATCAACAAAGGGAAAAGGTACATAAGGTGAAGTCTGGAGGAAACAAGCTTCCAAGAGTCCTTTTCCAGTGGAATCACACAAGACGTGCTTAATTTCAATGAATTGTGACACCTATAAAATGTTGTCTACCAGGGAAACTCATTAAAGACTCAGTGCCCAAGGATTTTACTGGGGGTTGGTCATGTAGTTGCCCTCTGCCTAGCACATACTGTAGCTCCAGGCTGTCGGGGAGCAGCAATTCAGCATAAACCACACTGTTTGTATAGCAGTTTTAGTATAATGAGGCACTCATCACTTCTGGAAATGGTGGGAACCCCCACCCCAAAATCCCAAGTTCCTAGATACCAGCCAGGGGCCAACCTTGCAAGCAGGTCTTTCTAAGGATGGCAGTCTCAGGACTGCTACATTAATTATTTTTCTACACATATGCCAGTTGATATCAGAACAAAGAATCCATGTTGTAAATTTGGGGGCAATTACTAAAAGAACAATTTTTTGTGGGTGGGGGGTTGTTTGTTTTTGTTTTTTGTTTTTTGTTTTGAGATGGAGTCTCGCTTAGTCGCCCAGGCTGGAGTACAGTGGCACGATCTCAGCTCGCTGCAACCTCTGCCTCCTGGGTTCAAGCGATTCTCCTGCCTCAGCCTCCCAAGTAGCTGAGACTACAGGCATCCGCCACCACGCCCAGCTAATTTTTGTATTTTTAGTAGAGACAGGATTTCAGCATGTTGGCCAGGATGGTCTTGATCTCTTGACCTCGTGATCCACCCGCCTCGGCCTCCCAAAATGCTAGGATTACAGGCATGAGCTACCGTGCCCAGGCCCTAAAAGAACAATTTTCAAAAGCATATGGAAAATAAAGTTGGACCTTTACCTTACACCATATCTGAAAATCAACTAAAATGAATCAACAACTTGAACATGAGTTAAAATTATAAAACTCTTAGAAGAAAACAGTGAAAAACTTTCGCAGCATTGGATTTAGCACTGATTTGGATATGGCAACAAAAGCATGGACAACAAAAGAAAAGATACATATATTAGACTTCATCAAAATCAAAAACTTGAACATCAAAGGACACTATCGAAAGAGTGAAAAGGCAGCCCATAGAATGAGAAAATATTTATAAATCATATATCTGATAAGGGGTTAATACCCAGAATAGGCTGGGGAGGAGGTGGCTCACGCCAGTAATCCCAACATTTTGGGAGGCAGAGGCAGGCAAATCACTTGAGGCCAGGAATTCAAAACCAGCCTGGGAAACATGGTAAAACCCCATCTCCACAAAAAATACAAAAATTAGCCAAGCATGATAGCACATACCTATTGTCCTAGCTACTCAGGAGGCTGAAGTGAAGGATCCCTTGAGCCTGGGAGGCAGAAGTTGCAGTGAGCTGAGATTACACCACTGCACTCCAGCTTGGGTGATAGAGCAAGACTATCTCATAAATAAATAAATAAATAAATAAATAAATAAATAAATAAAACAGGCACACAAACCAATGGAACAGAATAGAAAACTCAGAAAATAATGCACACTTACAACAATCTGATCTTCAACAAAGTCAACAAAAACAGGCAATGGAGAAAGGACTCCCTATATTCAATAAATGGTGCTGGGGAAACTGGTTAGCCATATGCAGAAGACTGAAACTAGACCCCTTCCTTACACCATATACAAAAATCAACTCAACATGGATTAAAGACTTAAATGTACAGTCTAAAACTTATAAAAACCCTTGAAGAAAAACCTGAGAATTACCATTCTGGACAGTAGGACAATTACATTCTGGCCAAGATTTCATGATGAAGATGCCAAAAGCAATTACAACAAAAACAAAAATTGACAAGTGGGACCTAATTAAACTAAAGAACTTGTGCACAGCAAAAGAAACGGTCAACAGAGTAAACAGATAACCCACAGAATATGAGAAAATATTTGCAAACTGTGCATCTGACAAAAGTCTAATATCCAGAATCTGTAAGGAACTTAAATTAACAGAAAAAAAAAAACACACACACACATTAAAAAATGGGTGAAGGACGTGAACAGACATTTCTCAAAAGAATACATTCACCTGGCCAACAAGCATATGAAAAAATGCTCAGTATCACTAATCGTTGGAGAAATGCAAGTCAAAACCACAAGATACCATCTTATACCAGTCAGAATGGCTATTAATAAAGTCAAAAAATAACAGATGCTGACAAGGTTGTAGAGAAAAGGGAATGCCTATGCACTGTTGGTGGGAATGTAAATTAGTTCAGTCATTGTGGAAAGCAGTTTGGTAATTCCTCAAAGAATTTAAAACAGAACTACCATTCAGGCCAGCAATCCCATTGTTGAATATATGCCCAAAGGAATGTAAATCATTGTACCATAAAGATACATGCATGTGTATATTTATCACAGCACTATTCACAATAGCAGAGACATGAAATCAACCTAAATGCTCATCAGTGGTAGACTGGATAAAGAGAAGTGTATGTATACACCATGGAGTACCATGCAGCCATAAAAAAGAACAAGATGATGTGCTTTGCAGCAGTATGGATGAAGCTGGAGGCCATTATCAAGCAAACTAATGCAAAAACAAAATCAAATACCACGTGTTCTCATTTATAAATGGGAGCTAAACTTTGAGTACATATGGAAATAGAAGGGAACAGCAGACACTGGAGCCTACTTAAGGGTAGATGGTAGGAGGATGGTGAGGATCAAAAAACTACCTATCTGGTACCACGCTTATTACCTGGATGATGAAATAATCTATATGCTAAACCCCACAACATGTAAATTATCTATATATAATGAACCTGCACATATGCCCCTGAAACTAAAATAGAAGTTTAAAATAAAATATCTTATTTTTCTTTATCAAAATAAAATTAGAGGCATGTGAAAGAAATATTAGAGTTAAAATGATTGCTAGATACAAAGACAGTACACAAAAATTAATTGCAATTCTCACTATCCATGATGTAAGAAAAATGAAATTTGTTAAAAGATATTATAGTACCATTAAAAACAAGGGCCTAGGAATGTATTTAACAAAAGATACTCAACAATCATTGTTGATTTCTCCTTTCTTTTGATTCTAGAACTTCCTTGGATAGTGTGTCTCCTCCTTCAGAGAATGTTCTACAGCACTTAGGAAAAAGTAGTAATAACAAGATGATGTAATTAGGTTGTGTAAATGGGCTAAGCTGTTAAAATATTCTACTTTATAGCCCTCCTTTAAAATCGAGCAGCAGTTGTCTATACAATATTAAGATCTCTGTATGTTTAAAGTTAAAATATAATTTTAATAAGTTTTAAAATTTTTTATTTCAATCTTGTTGTTTAGAACATCAAGGTGCGTATTTGGGATCTAAAGAAATGGTCTTGTCCATTTTAAAAACCTTTATTAAGTCACTTTTAAAATATATTAACCAAGAAAGAGGTTTGTTATATCATTGTTTGTGAAATGATTTCCATACATAAAAAAAGGTAATTTACCTGAACTTTATCTTAAGACTCTTATATTGGATTATAGGATAACAGATAAACTGTATAGATACATTCAGAATCATACAACATTTTGGAATGTGTATACTTTCAGGCTTCCAAGATAATTAAATTACGTCATGATACATTTCATGCATTTTTATGACTTCAGTATAAAACATTCAGGTGCGTTAGCCATTTTCGCTGGGAAGGGTAAACTTGTATGTGCTTTGGTACTTAAATTTAAATGTTCCCTATAGTGCTTGCATTCATTTTGTGAAAAGTTCTGTTGTATTGTTACAACAATTTTCAAAGGCTAATTTTATGCCTTATCTGATAGAAATATAGAATAGATGGTTCTTTAATTGCTTACTTTTTGAAAGTAATATAATATTTAAGTTGCATTTTTATTAATAGTAAGGTTAACATTTAAGTCTGCATTTTCTTTAAATGTTTTAAATGTTTATAACATTCAATGTTTAGTTGGTGTTACTTGATTAAAAATTAGCCATTTAATGTTTATATTTGATGTATTTATATTTAATAAAGGCATCTAATCTGTAGTACCACTGTCAATTTAATGCTTTCTTTGGGTTCAGTGGCATTTTTTTCCCAGAATAACAAATATTCTTTATTTATTTTATTTTATTTATTTTAATTGACAAATAGTAGTTGTACATATTCATGGGGCATATAGTAATGTTTTCATATATATAATGTATTGTAATCAAATCAAAGTAGTTAGCATATTTATCAATTCAAGCAGTTATCATTTGTCTGTCTTGGGAACATTCAATATCCTACTTGTAGCTATTTGAAATTATATCATATGTTATTTATTATAGCCATCCCATAGTGGTACAGAACACTAGAACTCATTCTTCCTATGTAGCTGTGATTTTGTATCCTTACACAAATCTCTCCCACAAATCTCTCCCTATCTTCCCCTTCCCAGTCTTTAGTATCCTTTGTTCTACCTTTTATTTCTATGATATCAAATTTTCTTTAACTTCCACGTGAGTAAGAACATACAGTGTTTAACTTTCTGTTCCTGGTTTATTTCACTTAACATGTCTGCCAGTTCCATCTATTGCCACAAATGACAGGTTTCATTCTTTTTTATTCCATTGTGTATATGTACCACATTTTATTTATCCATTCATCTGTTGTTGGACATCTAGGTTAATTCCGTGTCTTGGCTGTTGTGAATAGTGCCATACCTCTCTCTCTATATATATATATATATACACACACACACACACACTTATATATATATACTTTCAGTTCTAGGCTACATGTGCACAATGTGCAGGTTTGTTACATATGTATACATGTGCCATGTTGGTGTACTGCACCCATTAACTCATCATTTACATTGGGTATATCTCCTAATGCTATCCTTCCCCCCCTCCCCCCACCCCACCATAGGCCCCGGTGTGTGATGTTCCCCACCCCGTGTCCAAGTGTTCTCATTGTTCAGTTCCCACCTATGAGTGAGAACATGAGGTGTTTGGTTTTCTGTCCTTGCAATAGTTTGCTCAGAATGATGGTTTCCAGCTTCATCCATGTCCCTACAAAGGACACGAACTCATCCTTTTTTATGGCTGCATAGTATTCCATGGTGTATATGTGCCACATTTTCTTAATCCAGTCTACCATTGATGGACATTTGGGTTGGTTCCAAGTCTTTGCTATTGTGAATAGTGCTGCAATAAACATATGTGTGCATGTATCTTTATAGCAGCTTGATTTATAATCCTTTGGGTATATGCCCAATAATGGGATGGCTGGGTCAAATGGTGTTTCTAGTTCTAGATCCTTGAGGAATCACCACACTGTCTTCCACAATGGTTGAACTAGTTTACAGTCCCACCAACAGTGTAAAAGCGTTCCTATTTCTCCACATCCTCTCCAGCACCTGTTGTTTCCTGACTTTTTAATGATTGCCATTCTGGCTGGTGTGGCATGGTATCTCATTGTGGTTTTGATTTGCACTTCTCTGATGGCCAGTGATAATAAGCATTTTTTCATGTGCCTCTTGGCCGCATAAATGTCTTCTTTTGAGAAGGGTCTGTTCATATCCTTTACCCACTTTTTGATGGGGTTGTTTGATTTTTTCTTGTAAATGTGTTTAAGTTCTTTGTAGATTCTGGATATTAGCCCTTTGTCAGATGGGTAGATTTTAAAAATTTTCTCCCATTCTGTAGGTTGCCTGTTCACTCTGATGGTAGTTTCTTTTGCTGTGCAGAAGCTCTTTAGTTTAATTAGACCCCATTTGTCAGTTTTGGCTTTTGTTGCCATTGCTTTTGGTGTTTAGTCATGAAGTCCTTGCCCATGCCTATGTCCTGAATGGTATTGCCTAGGTTTTCTTCTAGGGTTTTTATGGTTTTAGGTCTAACATTTAAGTATTTAATCCATCTTGAATTAATTTTTGCATATGGTGTAAGGAAGGAATCCAGTTTCAGCTTTTTACATATGGCTAGCCAGTTTTCCCAGCACCATTTACTAAATAGGGAATCCTTTCCCCATTTCTTGTTTTTGTCAGGTTTGTCAAAGATCAGATGGTTGTAGATGTGTGGTATTATTTCCAAGGACTCTATTCTGTTCCATTGGTCTATATCTCTTGTTTTGGTACCAGTACCATGTTGTTTTGATTACTGTAGCCTTGTAGTATAGTTTGAAGTCAGGTACCGTGATGCCTCCAGCTTTGTTCTTTTGACTTAGGATTGTCTTGGCAATGTGGGCTCTTTTTTGGTTCCATATGAACTTTAAAATAGTTTTTTCTAATTCTGTGAAGAAAGTCATTGGTAGCTTGATGGGCATGGCATTGAATCTATAAATTACCTTGGGCAGTATGGCCATTTTCACAATATTGGTTCTTCCTATCCATGAGCATGGAATGTTGTTCCATTTGTTGTGTCCTCTTTTATTTCGTTGAGCAGTGATTTGTAGTTCTCCTTGAAGAGGTCCTTCACATCCCTTGTAAGTTGGATTCCTAGGTATTTTATTCTCTTTGAAGCAATTGTGAATGGGAGTTCACTCATGATTTGGCTCTCTGTTTGTCTGTTACTGATGTATAAGAATGCGTGTGATTTTTGCACATTGATTTTGTATCCTGAGACTTTGCTGAAGTTGCTTATCAGCTTAAGGAGATTTTGGGCTGAGATGATGGGGTTTTCTAAATATACAATCATGTCATCTGCAAACAGGGACAATTCGACTTCCACTTTTCCTAATTGAATACCCTTTATTTCTTTCTTTTACCTGATTGCCCTGGCCAGAACTTCCAACACTATGTTGAATAGGAGTGGTGTGAGAGGGCATCCCAGTCTTATGCCAGTTTTCAAAGGGAATGCTTCCAGGTTTTGCCCATTCAGTATGATACTGGCTGTGGGTTTGTCGTAAATAGCTCTTACTATTTTGAGATACGTCCCATCAATACCTAGTTTATTGAGAGTTTTTAGCATGAAAAGCTGTTGAATTTTGTCAAAGGCCTTTTCTGCATCTACTGAGATAATCATGTGGTTTTTGTATTTGGTTCTGTTTATATGATGGATTACATTTATTGATTTGTGTATGTTGAACCAGCCTTGCATCCCAGGGATGAAGCCAACTTGATCATGGTGGATAAACTTTTTGATGTGCTGCTAGATTCAGTTTGCCAGTATTTTACTGAGGATTTTTGCATTGATGTTCATCAGGGATATTGGTCTAAAATTCTCTTTTTTTGTTAAGTCTCTGCCAGGCTTTGGAATCAGGATGATGTTGGCCTCATAAAAATGAATTAGGGAGGATTCTGTCTTTTTCTATTGATTGGGATAGTTTCAGAAGGAATGGTACCAGCTCCTCTTTGTACCTCTGGTAGAATTCAACTGTGAATTTGTCTGGTCCTGGAGTTTTTTGGTTGGTAGGCTATTAATTATTGCCTCAATTTCATATCTTGTTATTGGTCTATTCAGTGATTCAACTTCTTCCTGGTTTAGTCTTGGAAGGGTGTATGTGTCCAGGAATTTATCCGTTTCTTCTAGGTTTTCTAGTTTATTTGCGTAGAGGTGTTTGTAGTATTCTCTCATGGTAGTTTGTATTTCTGTGGAATTGGTGGTGATATCCCCTTTATCATTTTTTGTTGTGTCTATTTGATTCTTCTCTCTTTTCTTCTTTATTAGTCTTGCTAGTGGTCTATCAATTTTGTTGATCTTTTCAAAAAACCAGCTCCTGGATTCATTGATTTTTTGAAGGGTTTTTTTTGTCTCTGTCTTCTTCAGTTCTGCTCTGATCTTAGTTATGTCTTGCCTTCTGCTAGAAGGCATTTTGAATGTGTTTGCTGTTGCTTCTCTAGTTCTTTTAATTGTGATGTTTAGGGTGTCAATTTTAGATTTTTTCTGCTTTCTCTTGTGGGCATTTAGTGCTATAAATTTCCCTCTACATACTGCTTTAAATGTGTCCCAGAGATTCTGGTATATTGTGTCTTTGTTCTCATTGGTTTCAAAGAACATCTTTATTTCTGCCTTCATTTCGTTATGTATCCAGTAGTCATTCAGGAGCAACTTGTTCAGTTTCCATGTAGTTGAGCGGTTTTGAGTGAGTTTCTTAATCCTGAGTTCTAGTTTGATTGCACTGTGGTCTGAGAGACAGTTTGTTATAATTTCCATTCTTTTACATTTGCTGAAGAGTGCTTTACTTCCAACTATGTGGTCAGTTTTGGAATAAATGTGATGTGGTGCTGAGAAGAATGTATATTCTGTTGATTTGGGGTGGAGAGTGCTGTAGATGTCTATTAGGTCCACTTGGTGCAGAGCTGAGTTCAATTCCTGGATATCCTTGTTAACTTTCTGTCTCATTGATCTGTCTAATGTTGACAGTGAGGTGTTAAAGTCTCCCATTATTATTGTATGGGAGTCTCAGTCTCTGTGTAGGTCTCTAAGGACTTGTTCTATGAATCTGGGTGCTCCTGTATTGGGTGCATATATATTTAGTATAGTTAGCTCTTGTTGAATTGATCTCTTTACCATTATGTAATGGCTTTCTTTGTTTCTTTTGATCTTTGATGGTTTAAAGCCGGTTTTATCAGAGACCAGGATTGCAACCCCTGCTTTTTTTTTTTTTTTTTTTTTTCCATTTGCTTGGTAGATCTTCCTCCATCCCTTTATTTTGAGCCTATGTGTGTCTCTGCATGTGAGATGGGTCTCCTGAATACAGCACACTGATGGGTCTTGACTCTATCCAATTTGCCAGTCTGTGTCTTTTAATTGGAACATTTAGCCCATTTACATTTAAGGTTAATATTGTTATGTGTGAACTTGATCCTGTCTTTATGATATTAGCTGGTTATTTTGCTCATTAGTTGATGCAGTTTCTTCCTAGCATCGATGGTCTTTACAATTTGGCATGGTTTTGCAGTGGCTGGTACCAGTTGTTCCTTTCCATGTTTAGTGCTTCCTTCAGGAGCTCTTGTAAGGCAGACCTGGTGGTGACAAAATCTCTCAGCATTTGTCTGTAAAGGATTTTATTTCTCCTTCACATATGAACCTTAGTTTGGCTGGATATGAAATTCTTGGTT